CGAAAAGTGTGTATTAATGAATGAGACAGACAAGTCTGGTTTTTATAATCTTTTCTGTAATCTTGTTAAATGTGCTTTTTATATACCGGCACAATTTTGGAGTCTTCAGCTCTTCAGGATCCTTTCTAGGATGTGGTTGATGATTTCTACTATTCTCGGGTTGATAATGTCAAAAAGTGTTTCAGTGTTTTTTTTTGTTATTTTGTCCAAACCAGGAGTACTTGCATACAACTGTGTTATACCTTTTTTATTATTTTTTCAACTAAGAGCTGCCAGTGTCTCAAATTTATTATTATTATTACTCTCATTTATGTTTTCCCGAGTGTTTTCCTATACCTTGATTTTCTATTTTCTGGTGTCCAGTGTATTTTTTGTAATTTTTTATTTAGTATTTTTAACTAAGATTTTTTTGTGCAGTGCTCCAGAGAGAGGTGTCTGATATTGTTGCATTGTGTTCTGAGAATAGTTTCAAGTTGAACCTTGATAAATCTGTATGCATGTCATTCACATGCAATAAAAATCCTGTCATTTATGATTATTCTGTAGGTAATGTAAAACTGGAAAGAGTGTCTGAGCAAAAAGATCTGGAATCTGGGAGTTATTTTTGATCCTGCTTTGTCTTTCTCGGGACATATTTTGTCAAAAATTTCGAGTGCTCAGAAGGTATCAGGTTTCATTACAAGAAACACAAAATGTTTTAGTATTGGCATTAGCTTATCTCTTTTTGACAGTCTCGTTGTGCCATTCTTGGAATATGGCAGCGTAATATGGTCACCCCAATACCATAATTGGAGTGAAATTATAGAAAGTGTGCAGCGAAAATTCTTGAAATGTCTGTACTTCAGAAAGTTTGGCTCTGCTGTTGATACTTTGAATAAATAAATAAATAAATAGTCCAGCCTCTGAATATCTCATTTTGAAGAAATAATATGGGTTTTTTATATGAATGATTGCCTTTATAATTTGCTGGTGGTCTCTATACTTCACCTTTTTCAATAAAAATGTAATTATTCCACCCCTTTTTGTCCTATTTTCTTCTGGACTATCAGAAATAAACTTGAAAAACCTAGTATATTTGGAATTAGGTTTGAAACGCTAATCCGATGGGACAATAATATATGGGGTATTCCATTCAAAAAAGTATTACTTTGCTTCACCACACTTTTGTGACACACCCTAACATCATTGAAAACTTTCTGATATTACCTACAACTTTCACATTTGACATATCTGGGTATCTCTTCAAACAGGTGAGATAGTTGTGGGTGTAAAATATAGACAGAAGTAATTTGCTAGTTATTGAAATTTGTCGGTGTAAAATAAGCACCCAAAGGCTAGCATTTTCGCAAACAAAATCTATGAATCCAAAGATGGAAACATCACCCTTGAAGCGACAAAAACTATAAACAGTTTAAGTGTTTCTTTTTTAATCGTCTTCTAGATCATACTCCACCTCAGTACCTATTTGAAACACAAGTGAATAAGCTGTAATTCAACCGAGAATTCAACTATTCAAACCTCGATTCCAACCAATGTCAGCCATCTAAAATAGCACAACCGAGAGAAAAACCTTGAAAAAAATTTGAGGAAAAATTACTTGGAATATCATAAAAACCTCAATAAAACCATGAATTTTTTTTTTTTTTTTTTCAATTTTTCCATCTCATGTTTCCTCCCATGTCTCCCATCAATATTTGAAAGGAAAGTGAAGAAGGTTTTGCTCAACCATTTTACTAACACACAAAAATTCCCTTAGAGATGACTAAGAAAGAGGTTTTGGAATCAAAATACTCTGGAAGCCCTTAACATGTTCATTGTCCAACGAGTCACATATGGGTTGTAAATCCACTTGCATATTATTCCTGCGAACCATATGTGGGTCGCAACCGAGGTCGCAACTGTATGGTTTTTTATGGGAAGTCGATAAATTAGACGTAAGAGCTTTTTCGCATGCAGTGGACTCTGGACCAAAAAAAGCTAAGTACATTTTGATAAAAAAAAAAAATTTTGTTCTGTCAAAAAATAATGTTACAGCTTACAGACTAAATACATACAAAAACTAGTATATGATTGTGAATCCTTGAATAAAATAAATAAAAGTCCAATGATTTTACGCAAAACAAGAAAGCCAATATGCTTGACAAAAATTTAGAAAATCTGGATTCTGCAATGTTGGGTCTGTTCCTACCGAAATCACAAATTAGTCAGAGTGAATTTTATTGGTTGAAAATAGTCCAGAAAACTGTTTGTTGGCGATTTGTAGATACCAATCAAAAACGCTCTGACTAGTTAGTGATTTCTGTGAGAACAGACCTGTTGTCACATCATTATCAAGTAGCGACTAATACTTATATGATTCGTAGGACGTAGATTGTATAAATAAATTACAATAATGTGCCACGACCCAAAGCTCTACTAAGAAAATTTCCCCATACAAAAACCGTTGAAGATAATTTTAGAAGCAAATTGGCTCAAAATCATGTGAAGAATTTATCAAGTCAAATAAAAGAGAAGATGAAGTAAAGTTCGCCGTTTTTAAACTGACACTTTCCGTATGATGAGCGAGGGGGTGTTTCATATGGGAAAACAGGTGTGACGTTAGGTAGCCATTGGAGTTCTAAAGTAGGGAGCCACCAGCTCACATTCCTTTGGAGTATCAGATTAGAATTGACAGACATTACAAGGATTGTGCAGATTTTAGTCGAAATAATAAAAATATGTAGCTGGTGAAAAAAACTTTGCAATGTATAAGCTGAGGCATAAAATATACTCACCACCCAAGCATTTTTTTATTGGGGAATAATGTCCCAAATCCTGTAAAGTACAGGATGTATTTATTAAGTAGGTGCCAAATTTTTATCAATAGAAAAGATCGTCCTTTACTGATATGAATTTTGCCCTATTTGTGACAAGATAACTCAAATTTTGATAATTTATTAAGTATTTATTTCTTCTGTCTTGTCTTTCAACCACTTGGTATAAACTTTTTCATCAAATTTTTCAATTTGTAAATAGAGTTTAAAAGAACAACAAAAATATCCAACTTACCCAAAAACTTACCCGAGAACTTACCATTACATATAGATATTATAATTTGTTTTGAAGAATGTTTTATTTATGATTCCTCTCATATTTGGAGTAGTTTTTGTATCTGCTACATATCGGAGTACATGAAAATACATAGGAATACATCGAAGAATACATGCGATTGCAAGGCAATACAAAACTTTACAAAGGAGCGCATGTAACTAAGCCTACTACTGATAGAAAATATTGAGGAAAATACGCTGTCTTTAAAAGAAAATATTAAATATTGAGATAAACATCATAGATAATTTAGTGTTCTCTGTTTCAATACATCTACCAATATAGGCACCATTGATGTTCATAGGAGACAGCGTTATATTTCTTTATTATGATTTCTGAAATGATTTCATTTGAACTACTATGCATGTATCTTCTTTACTTTCGGCTTCTAAATGCATTTCGCCATCAGAAGAATCGTCAATTAAATGCGAGATTCAATGCTTCATCCTCAGATGTAGACGTAGAGTTCAATGTAAATTTTGTCCCAACAAACTTTTCAATTTTCTTTTTCTTTATCAGTTTAATTCCTTTTCAAGGATTTCTTGTAAGTCTAGGTTTTTTGGTGCCGCTAACTGGATTGGATTTACTTAGACAGAGATTCCATTGCTGGAATAAAATCTTCAAAGTCTCTGTACTTACTTTATCCAAGGACTCATCTAGAAGCCAACAAACTCAGGACTTTAACATATTTTTCCTTAAGCTTTACTCAAGGCTTCTCTAAATTAACATAAGATTTTATTGTAATATCAGCTTTGGTAAATTTTTTGAAGAAATCTTTCAAATCTAATGAAGTAATGAGTCTATTTCCTCTTCGGGTGGAATGTTCATCAGTAAGGTTTTCAACTTGGTTTTCAAATTCGCTCATTTCAATTTTGTTAAAATCGACATTTAATCTGTTCTATGGTTTTAACAGACATGAGAACCGTTCTTGATCGGTAATTTCCAGTCGATCAATTCATTTGTCAATCAGGATAAACGTTCAACTTATTGAAAAATTGGTGAGCAACTGGAAATGTCTGGTTCTGGAACAGTTCTCATCTCATGTCTGTCGGAACAGAGTTCCAGTATCGTCTTGGTCTATGATTAGTTGCAAATCTAAATTAATGCAGTCATTTTTATCAGCAGTAATGATTCCTAATATGACAGTATCATTAAGAACGTCATTTAGAGCTGCATTGCATTAACACATGATTTTCAGTTTATGGACAAAATTTCTTCTGAGGTGACAATAGCATAGCTTGCTTGGAATTTAAATGAGGAGTTTTTTTTTTCTCTAGGAAAATAAAATCCTTCGTGTATGTTAGACACAATCTCATTTATTGTTCGAATTCTGTCTAGCCATTTTAACTTTGGTTGCTGAAATTGACGACTGTGGATAACGTTGAAGTCATAGATCTGGCCATTCTGTAGAATTTTTCGCAAGGCTGACTCGAGGACGAGAATACATAAGAATACATGAGAATACACAGAAATACCTATGGATACATAAGAATACATAGCGCGTACATAATAATATATTATTGGATTACATGAGAAAAAAAGGACACATGGAATTACATGAGGCTTATACACTGGAATACATTGGTGGTTTACCCTTGTTTAACAGTTTCACAGAGTGGAAAAAAAAACTACCATTTTCCTCATTTTTCACCATTTGAGAATTTCAACAATTTGCCACTTTTTTCATGAGGATTCTTAGCTTGCCATTACGATTTTGTATGTCACATTTTGTATTAAAAAACAGAAAATTAGGTACCTCATAATGACTTTTTTCCAATGACCTTAAACCCTCTCTGTGACCCTAACACCATTGATATTTCTTTGGAAATTTCAAATGAAATTCATTTTTAAAAATATCTTTGCCACTAAAAAAAAATTATAATGTAATGAAACAGCTCTATTTTTTCATTCAGGTCGACAAACAACAAGCACTCCTAGAAGCAGACGATCCAGTCTCCCAACTACACAAATGTGCCTTCTACATGAAAGACACCGAAAGGATGTACTTGTGTTTATCACAGGAAAGAATAATCCAGTTCCAAGCGACGCCTTGCCCTAAGGAGCCTAATAAAGAGATGATCAATGACGGCGCTTGCTGGACTATCATCTCTACTGATAAGGCTGAGTATCAGTTTTACGAAGGAATGGGACCTGTAAGGTGAGAATAAATTATGAATCAAAATAGATTGATTACTATCTATTTATAAAGGCAAATTATTGTGTTTTTTTTGTTTTCACAGTAATAAGTACATACATTGTTTGGAAAATTGTTATTACATTCATTAGTTGAAATTAATCTAATTTTAATAATAAGCTCGCTTCAATGGAAGCTTTAGTATCCAAAGGTAATTTTTTTTTATTGTGCTGCTGACTTGTAGTTATTATATTATACTTATTAATAAATTTTTATTGTAATATTTATAAATATCAGAGCCTCTAGATTACCAAAAAGAAGCTACAAACAACAATCAAAATATCCAATTTATTGATACAAAGGCATTCTTGTTTTCAGATCCCCAGTTACCCCAGTACCAATAGTCCACAGTCTACACTTAAATGGAGGAGGCGATGTAGCAATGCTAGAACTAACCGGCGACAATTTTTCACCATCCCTCCAAGTTTGGTTTGGTGACGTTGAAGCCGAAACAATGTACAGGTGCCAAGAGAGCATGCTCTGTGTAGTCCCAGACATTTCCCAGTTCAGAGGCGAATGGTTGTGGGCAAGTACTCCTAACAACTTCGTAATCATTATCTAATTTGGACAAAAATTTAGGTCCGACAACCAACTCAAGTCCCAGTATCTCTAGTCCGGAACGACGGCATCATTTACGCAACAGGACTGACGTTTACGTACACTCCGGAACCCGGGCCGAGACCTCATTGCAATCCCGCCGACGAAATAATGAGGCAGGGACAAAGGACGGCTGCTGTTGCGCAGGCGCAGAATCAGTCAGCCATAGCTGAGTCAGCTTGGAGTCTGCACTGAGTTAGTAAGGAATAAAAATTTATTTTTTTTATCAGCTCAAATGTCACCAAATAGTAATTGTTAGTGTGTCAGGGCGGTTGTGATTGGTGAGGAGAAACTCTCGAGTGTTTTGGATTAATAGTTTTTGGCGAATTACTAGTTGATAGTTTTACACCAAAGAGCTATAGTTTTTTTGAGTGAAAATGGCAATGTAATAAGTTTTTTAGGCAATAATTATTGATAGGTTTGTTTCAACTTGTAGTTCAATAACTGCAGAGCAGAATATTGAGTTCACTTCAAATCAAGAAGTAAAAATTCAGATTACTATAATTTCCCTAATTCCTCAATTCCTTTTTTCATAAGAATTCTAGTATGGTAACAAGATGTAATTTTTTCAAAAAATTTACTCATAAAATTTAGTGTCCATACATTTTTTTGGATTCTGAGGCCTGAGAAGAATTTAATATGATTTCTGCAGTTTTTGGTCTGAAAATTTCTATCCACAAAATCGCTCAAACTTTGGTGAATATTTTACAAAATGCAATGTCGTAATCTATGATTCGTAATCAGAATTGAATGCTCTACAAGATAATACAGGATTCAATCCTGTATCTCTATCCGAAATCTACAATTGGGATAAATTTTGATTTCAGAAATATAACCGTTTGAACCAAGGGGGGTAGTCACTTGTGATTTTTTAGGACAGGAAATTTCCATTTGTGCAGATCTTCTTGGAACTTCATAGATCTTCATGGATATCCTTGGATCTCTAGGGATATCCTGGGATCTCCAAGGATTATCCTCGGATTATCATGGAGATCCATGATTTGGATTTCGATGGATTTCTGTGTATCTCCTCCAGACCTCCATGTCAGTGGAAATAACAACATGAAAAATCTTGAAAATCGACTTACAATTACTGAATCAATTGAAAATACAGTCTCACACATTTCAAAGTTTTTCTGGAAAACTGATAAAGGGAAAATTTTGAAACTTTTTGTATGCAAAGAGGAAAGTTAAGAGCTCATTTTCCCAAAACTTCAAATTTTTCTGGTGGCAAATAACAACATGAAAAATTTTGAAAATCGACTCAAAATAACTGAATTAATTGAAAATGCAGCTTCACACGTTTTAAAGTTTTCCTGGAAAACTAATGAAAGGAAAATTTTGATTTTTTTTCTATGCAACGAGGAAACTTAAGAACTCGTTTTCCCAAAATTTCAAATTTTTCAAGTGGAAAATGGAAAATAACAACATGGAAAATCTTGAAAATCAACTTAAAATAACTGAATTAATTGGAAATACAGCCTCACACGTTTCAAAGTTTTCGTGAAAATCTAATCGAGGGAAAATTTTGGAATTTTTTCTATGCAAAAAGGAAAGTTAGGAATTTATTTTCCCAAAATTTCAAATTTTTCCATTGGAAAATAACAACATGAAAAATCTTGACAATCGACTTACAATCACTGAATTAATTGGAAATACAGTCTCACAGCTCTAACACATTTCAAAGTTTTCCTGGAAAACTAATAAAGAAAAAATTTTGAAATTTTTTCTATGCAAACAGGAAAGTTAGGAGCTCATTTTCCTAAAATTTCAAATTTTTCCAGTGGAAAATAACAACATGAAAAATCCTGAAAATCTACTTACAATAACTGAATTAATTGAAAATACAGGCTCACACATTTAAAAGTTTTTCTGGAAAACTAATGAAGGGAAAATTTTGAAACTTTTTCTATGCATAGAGTAAAGTTAGGAGCCCATTTTCCCAAAATTTCAAATTTTTCCAGTGAAAAATAACATGAAGAATTTTGAAAATTGACTTACAATAACTGAATCAATTGAAAATACAGTCTCACACGTTTCATAGTTTTTTTGGAAAACTAATAGAGGGAAAATTTTGAAACTTTTTTTATGCAAAGAGGAAACTAAGGAGCTCATTTTCCCAAAATTTCAAATTTTTCCAGTGGAAAATAACAACATGGAAAATCTTGAAAATCGACTTACAATAACTGAATTCATTGGAAATACAGTCTCACACATTTCAAAGTTTTCTTGGAAAACTAATGAAGGGAAAATTTTGAAACTTTTTGTATGCAAAGAGGAAAGTTAGGAGCTTATTTCCCAAAATTTCAAATTTTTCCAGTGGAAAATAACAACATGAGAAATCTTTCAAATCGACTTACAATAACTGAATTATTTGCAAATACCGTCTTACACATTTCAAAGTTTTCCTGGAAAACTAATAAAGGGAACATTTTGAAACTTTTTGTGTGCGAAGAGGAAAGTTAGGAGCTAATTTTCTCAAAATATCAAATTTTTCCAGTGGAAAATACCAACATGAGAAATCTTGAAAATCGACTTACAATAACTGAAAATACAGTCTCACACACTTTAAAGTTTTCCTGGAAAACTTGGAAAACTAATGAAGGGAAAATTTTGAAAGATTTTCTGTGCAAAGAGGAAAGTTAGGAGCTCATTTTCTCAAAATTTCAAATTTTTCCAATAGAGAATAACAATATGAAAAATCTTGAAAATCGACTAACAACAATAACTAAATTAATTGAAAATACTGTCTCACACATTTCAAAGTTTTTCTGGAAAACTGATAAAGGGAAAATTTTGAAACTTTTTGTATGCAAAGAGGAAAGTTAGGAGCTCATTTTCGCAAAATTTCAAATTTTTTCAGTGGAAAATAGAAACATGAAAAATCTTTCAAATCAACTCACAATAACGGAATTAATTGCAGTCTCACACATTTCAAAGTTTTCCTGGAAAACTAATAAAGGGAAAATCGAGGGGTTAATCACTCCCCGAAATCATGTCACAAATTCGTCCGAAATCCCCGAAATATTTCCGAAATCCCACCGAAATCCCCGAAATCCTTCCAAAATCCTCGAAATCCGCCGAAATCTCTCAGAAATCTCTCCGCAGACCCAAAAATCCCTCGCATAATAGGCTCAAAATTCATAAATCGGTCATCGCGGCCGTTTTTCAGTTTATACTAATACACTTTCGAATATACTGTCAAAATGATAAGATAAGTAACAATCTAAAATCAAAATAAAAAAACATTTGTGAAATCACCTGAAATTCTTCGAAATCACCCGAAATCCTTCGAAATCACCCAAAATCCTTCGAAATCACCCAAAATCCTTCGAAATCAACCGAAATTCCTCAAAATCTCTCTGAATCTGAAATCTTGTCACAGTGAATAATCCCTCGAAATCTTTCCGAAATCCTACCGAAATCCTTCCGAAATCCTACCGAAATCCTCCGAAATCACCCAAAATCCCTCAATATCGCTCTAAATCCGAAATCTTGTCACATTTTTCCCTTAGTGAATAACCTATCGGGGAAAATTTTGAAACTTTTTATTTGCAAAGAGGAAAGTTAGGAGCTCATTTTCTCAAAATTTCAAATTTTTCCAGTGGAAAATACCAACATGAAAAATCTTGAAAATCGACTTACAATAACTGAAAATACAGTCTCACACACTTTAAAGTTTTCCTGGAATACTAATGAAGGAAAAATTTTGAAAGTTTTTCTATGCAAAGAGGAAAGTTAGGAGCTCATTTTCCCAAAATTTCAAATTTTTCCAGTGGAAAATAACAACATGAAGAATCTTGAAAATCGACTAATAATAACTGAATTAATTCAAAATACAGTTTCAGACATTTCATAGTTTTCCTCGAAAAAATATGAAACTTTTTGCATGCAAAGAGGAAAGTTAGGAGCTCATTTTCTCAAAATTTCAAATTTTTCTAGTGAAAACATGAAAAATCTTGAAAATCGACTTACAACAATAACTGAATTAATTGAAAATACAGTCTTACAAATTTCAAAATTTTCCTGGAAAACTGGTAAAGGGAAAAATTTGAAATTTTTGCCATGCAAAGAGGAAAGTTAGGAGCTCATTTTCCCAGAATTTCAATTTTTTCCAGAAAAAAATAACAACATGAAAAATCTTGGAAATCGACTTACAATGACTGAATTAATTGAAAATACAGTCTCACATTCCATAGTTTTCCTGGAAAACTGATAAAGGAAAAATTTTGAAACTTTTTGTATGCAAAGAGGAAAGTCAGGAGCTCATTTTCCCATGGAGATCATTTGGATTTCACATGGATCTCGGTGTATCTTCTCGGGACCTCCATATACATTAATAACCATGGTATCAGTTAAAATTTCGCTTTTCCGATTCTTCACAACTGCAACTGAAGTACTTGGATCCCCCCATATTTCCACAGGATTTCCTTGTATCTTTAGTGGATTTTCATGTATATCCACCGGATATATATCCATGTATCTCCACAGATATCCAGGGATATCCACAGATCTTCATGAGACATCCTAACACATCCTGTAGGCCAGAATATTTCCAGGGTGGATACTCCGTCAATGCCCCAAATCAAGAGCTTGTAATAATTGAAATTTGTACTACAATAATTCAAGATGCTGTGGTAACCTACTAGAAGTGTATAGAACTTTCTTAGAGATTTTTCACCCTTCTAACTCCAGAATTGTAAATCAAGAGCTGGTAATAATCAATATTTGAACTATTTTTGAAATTATTTGCTGTAGCAATCGAGAAATTAATTTTAAAAAATCTGCAAATTTTTCACTTATTGAGGTTACTTTAATTTGAAGAGCTCTTTTCTCTTATTTCAAGTCATTCAGATTTTGTAATTTGAAAGTCAACCCTAGTGACTGTGTTGCCAGATTTAAGAACAAATGTATCTCAATGATTGTGCACAATTTTCCTGGCTCAGGCAAATTTGGCAATGATGCAATGTTTTCTACAGAAGAGCAGAATTTTCTGCTGAAATGAAAAACATTTAAGCCAGAGTACTTAATCTACAACAGGATGTTTAAAATGTGTAGAATATAATATAAATTGTATTAGTTTATAAAATTGGAAATTCTCTATGAGATTGTGAGGCTATTACATTTCCAGAGTACTTACAATAGTGTATTCTACAGAGTCTGTAGATGATGATGATGAGGCACAAAAAATGATTACAAAGACTGGAAATCCTTTGTTTGTAGATCTTATTTCCCTTATTGAAGTTCCTTTAAACTCACAATGAAGAGTTGGAAGTGCAAGTTGAAACAAACCTATTGAAATGTGACATTTTATAAAATATAGAATGTAGACAACACTATGAGTAGGTATTTATTAGTATACCTACTCACTTTGAATTTTCTTAGAGCAACGATCAACGAATTTATTTTGCATTTAGAACAATTTTTTTTTTGTTTGTGTAGACACAATTGTGAGAAGTTTTTTGTGTAAATATTTTTATATATTATACAGTATTTTTTTTTCTTTTTTTTTTAAATTGATTGACAGCTTTATATTGTTTTTTTTTTTTGTGCAAGACTTTTTAAAATAATATATAATATATCTTATTTATTTGATATTGAATTGTATTTGGAAATATGTATTTTATTTATTAATCCTATTTTGTTTCAGTACTTTTCTATAGTAGGTCACAGAAGTATGTAAAAAATAAATTTGGGTCAATTGTACCTAATGCAAAAAAAAATAATCACAGTATGTAATTATTTAATTACGTTTCCCAGGATTCTTATAATAAAAAAACGCAAATTTCTTTCAGGCAAAATGTGGGAACGGGAGCAACTAATTAATAAAACAACAGGAAAAGTAATTACACGAAAAATATAACGCTATTGTTTTTCTGTACGAAAAATTCCCACATTCAAATCTTTTCAAAATGCAAAGATTTATTTTTATTATTATTATCTGTCGTGGGAAAGTAACTGAATTACGAGCGTGTGAAAAATATTTGCCTGCTTCCTTGATCCTTTTCAAGAAAAAAATGCAACGTTATGCCAAATCTCAAGATTTTTAAAGGGAATTAAGTGACCCTTTGTGTTATGGTTTGTTGATTTTGAAAAATTTGACCGACAATGTTGCCTGAGATGTTTATCTTTCTTTGTGTTTGACTAATTGGCGACAATTTTACCTGAGATAGGATTTTTTTTTAATTCCTCTGGTAAAAATTCAAATTTGAATTACTTAGATTTGAGACAGGGTTGTCGAAAATTCGGCTAATTGTATTAAATTGGGTTTTTTGATGTTTTACCAAAATATCAGAAGACTTTCAATTCAATTTTCAATCCTCCTGTATTTGTTTGAGACAAATTGGAATCTTTGAAAACATTGTAAAACGTTACAAAACATTTCAGAACCAATTTAGAATTTCAGAAACATTCTAGAACTGTTTTGAACACTTCTGAACTTTTGATATCTTAGAAAGCTTTTGAAATACTCTAGAATACATTAGAAATCGTATGGAACTCTCATCTCTTGGAAACAATCTAGAACTGGAAACTTCCAGAATATCTTGAAAATCGTCACGACATTTTAGAACTAACTTAAAACTTCCATGAACATATTAGAATACTCTAAAACACTTCTAAACTGAACAACCAGAAGGTGCAAATAAAAATTCTAAATCTATATAGCAATATCTTTATTGTTGTCCGATATATACATTGCACTAAAATCCAGTGATGTAAAATTTATATTTACAATACAGTATATTATATAAATTAAGTACAATTAATAAAGAAGCGTACATTTTAGAAAATATAGATTCAAATTCACCATCAATCAGGTTCGATTTTAAAAATAAATACAGAGCAAAAATTACTCAATCAACTCTAAGATTCTGGACAAATACTATCATTTTTGTATATCAGAGATTCTACCAATAAATATACTTATATTTTAAAATAATTATCATAAATAAAATTTAACAATTAACTGACAAAGAACCAAACATAAAAATAAATAAAAAATAAAACTTGAGGTAAACATAATTAATAAGAACATACTACTTTATCCTTAAGCTTCTTTGTTTGTTCATATTTGTGAGCATCAAGGCAATGTAGGATGTAAGTAAATCGTCCATTTTGTAGCCGAGCGAAGTTTCGCATAGTAATTTCGATCCTCTGACCAAATTGCCAATCGTCATGTGGAAATAGGTATTGCCTGATGACCAGTTTGATATTCTCGTGAAGGGATGGGTTACCAATATGTCCTAGGAAAAAAAAATAGTTTTAAATTCCAACAGTTTTCTTACATACTGTAATAGATAATGAAATTGAGCCGATAAAATACGCATTTCAAGAAAGAAAATCCCATCGCAATTACTATTAGACGTCGATAATTAAAACCTTTTTATAATGTCTACTTACATAATAGAGATTATGAATATAATGGCGTTTAAAATAATAATTATTGAAAAAACAGGAAACGAGTCAATTCGTGGGAACAATTTGAGGTAAAATACATACATAATTAAACAGTAAAATAGATAATAATTAATTAGTTAAAATTTGATTCTGAGTATAGAAGGTCTTGGGAGGAATCTTTTGCGGTTGAAATGTTTGTAATAACTGTCATTAATTTTGAACATCAATGAGCATCCTGATACAGAATTATTTTGGGAAAAAACGTGATAAAATGAAATAATATTTCTTTAAAACTTGGTTGATAAGTGCCCACATAAATTATAAAGTTTGAAACAGTTTTTTTAGAAGAAATAGGAAATGATGATAAGTTCATTCAAGGAGTTATTGATAAAGTAGAAGAAATATTTTCTTCTAGATGACAGCATTGAAGAAATATTCATCGAAGCACACAAAGTTGAAAAAAAAAGGAATACATACCGAAGAAAAATCTGCATTTTCTGTTTTTGAATTATCATTATTATGACAAGAAAGTGCCTTTATTGTTAACGATAATAAGAGCTGAAGCTTACAGTGTTTTGAACTCGGTTTTAAAAGACTTATTAGCTCCAGACTAACTCAGCACAAAATCATTCAATAATCTCAAAAAAATGTCTATTGGATCATCACATTCCTGAGCGATTAGTCATATATCAATACCAAATGCTATTTGGATGATATCTTTGTTTGGATCGTCTTTAATAAATTGTTATGAGAATGTAAGAAAAGTTTTTGAGCGGCTGTACAAATTTAATGTAAAAGTGAATTCTAGAAAGTGTAAGTTTTTTGAAACAAGAGTAAATTTTCTCGGTCATGTAGTGGACGCCAGTGGTATACCTACATCCTTCTGTTGGGAAGACTGCTGCGATAAAATTGCCACCAGTACCAAAAACGGTAATTTGACTTAAATCTTATTGAGGTTTGATAAATTATTCCAATGTTGTTTTCTAAACTTAAACCACTTTACAATTTGTGTCAAAGTAATGTAAACTTTGCTGAGAGTTGGTCTAAAAAATGTCAAAATGTTTTTCAACAGAGTACAGAATGGCTAACGTCGGACAGTATGTTAGTACATTTTATATGTCACCTGTGACATAAGTAGTTATGGGGTAGGTTGCAAGCACCTTGTCGGAAACCGAGAAAAAATATAGCAATATTTAGAGAGAAGCCTTAGCTATTATTATGGACGAAAGTTTGTATTAGTAACCGATCACCAACCCCTTCAGTTTATTTTTGGGAAATAATAATGTAATGTTTATTTTTTTCCCATTTACAATAGTACATTACAGATAGTGAGTCAGTCATGTGCACAATGGTGCACTGTGTACTTTGTATACACAACTAACATAGGAATTTTTCCTAATAACTAATAACTGCATAGATGAGTTACAGGCAACAACAATAATCAACAATATTAATAACCTATCAATAACAACAATAATATAATCCAGTCCCAACAACAATGAGAAAGATCAATAAATGTATGTAAATCCCAAACAATAACACCAAAGAAAATAAGAGTTGGAAGAATGAGGAAAGATACAAGTATTCCAATATCGGCTGCATCAAGAATCATGCGGTGGGCTGTGAACTGGAGTCAGAGACTTCATTTTGTCAGGTCGGCCTGAAACTATATCTAGGGAAGATTTAACCATATCATAAGCGTAATGAATTGTGAGTGGAAAAGAATTGTTTATTACTGGGTTATAGAATTATTATCCCTGTATCAACCCAGTAATTTTTGTAGAGTGTATATAGATTTTTTCTGTAAACACTGGCGTAGCTAAACCAAACGTGGACGTCGGCGACATCCGAATTGCGAGGCCCTTTTTATGAAGGTGTGGTCATATTTTTTGTGACAAAAAACTGGATATAAGACAGGGATGGGTAGCTGCCGGCAGGCCACCCGAACCGAAAGATAACCGCGGAAGGCGAGAATTTTTTGAGTGTCACGCCACCTTTTTCAGGCATATCAACGGGGGGGGTATTCGATAGTCATTTTCAGTCAAAAATATTAATATTTTTCCGCTAAAAATCCTACAGCCAAAAATAAATTTCTCATTTATTACAGTATGACGCAAACATGGACCGACAATTTTTAGTAGGAATCAGGAAATTTTTCAAGAAACCTAATTAATTTCCGAATCCCTGTATGTTAGTATGTTTATGTTTGCTGTGCAAAATCAAATGCTGGATAGACTTTCAAAATGCTGTAGAATGTACAGCATGTTTCCTTATATTTTGACCCCTACCTACAGCTTTAGCTATACGAAGTGTAAAAAAACGTTAAATATGAAAGTTGTAGGCAGAGATAAATACTATATAAACTGTCGAGAATGGAATCTCAGTGTAAATTTTGTTGTCAACAAAATTGAGCCAAGCTAGCGCCATCTACCATATTGGAAACTCACTATTTACTGGTTTTTCATCGACGCTACAGACACCTACTTTACATAGGGCTTCAAGGCATTTATATGATAGATGGCGCCCTGTTCGCATTACAGTAGGTCTGTTCAAATTTGTTTATTTTAGACTTTGGGACATTAATGTTTGCTTTAAATTAATTGATATTTTGTTAATTAGATCAAAAGACAGTTCCTTTATCGATGGGTAAGGATATTCTTGACATATTTATTCAAAGTTCTGATTGATGTTTAATTGAACCTGTCATTAATCTAATCAACAAGGATAAAAATAGATCTCCCAATCTATAAAGTTTGAAGGTCTTCGTGAAACACATAAAACCACTTTGAAATCACTTAAGAACACTTGACAACACAACAAAAGATGAGATGCAAGAGCGGCGAACGAAAAACATTATGAATTATTACTTATGAACGAATGAATATTTTGGCATATTGTCATATGTTGACATGTCAATCTCATGTCAATGTTATCGACATCGGACGTGTTCTTGATGTGCTGGTATTTTACAATTCTGTTGTTGTCAGCGACATCTAGGAAAACGGAAAAAAGTTATTATGTGGTCTATTACTGGCAATAAGAGATCGCAGGGCCTGGTTGTAGGGTTTTATGTCTATTATCTTTTTCGAATGTCAAAATGGGCAAATAACAGGTGCCAACTGTTACAATGACAAACACTTGCATTTTTCAAATGGAACACCCTGTATATTTTTGCCTAGAATGATAGATCATTTTCTTCTGATTCCAAACATACCATATACTTATGTTGATATTTGGTTCAGCTGTTTTTACGCTATACAAGTTTAAAAATGCATTTACATTACCCTTAATTTAATCTGTCCTGGTTTTTTATATCAATGATGAGGCTTGCTCAATGCAATTTTAAAATTGAATAGCGCAAAAAACAACTGAACCAAATATCAACATATATGGTATATTTGAAATCAGATTCTGATTGGCGGCTCGTCAAAGTAGGCAGGGGAGTCTGAACCTCCCCCAAAAAATTGAAAATTCAATCTCAATTTTTTATTCCTGGTTTCTAATTAAAATAATAATTAACAAATTACAGTTTCCAATTTTCGATATTTCAATGTAATTTAGAAAAATCTGACAACATTATTTCAATCAATCCCGCCGCGCCTCCACGACAAATATCTGTGAATTTGGGATACTCAGTTATATGCGAGCCCGAAGGGCCGGAGTTATATGCGAGCCCGAATGGCCGGAGTTATATGCGAGCCCGAAGGGCCGGAGTAATACGAGCCCGATGGGCTAGAGTTATTTTAATCACGGGGCCTAGTTTATAATTCTATTAGTGAGCAATAATTTAGAGCTAATTGAAAACCGGGAGTATTTAAAATGCTATTTCTAACGTCCGATCAAAGAGTCAGGAATATTCAAAAACTTTAGTTTTATCAAATTGGCTTTGGAATGTTGGTTTTCTTAAGATTTTTAGTTTTTTCAGAAAACGGTGGTTTTTGCAAACATATACTACTTTATCATTGTCTTTGTCTTACTCACTATAATCAATAAGTAAACCTTTAAATGTCATTTTCATTGAAATTAAACTAAAAACAAGTTGCCTATAATTTATTTGGGGAATTTTAATTATTATAATCATTATTAATTATTAAATTGAATTTTAAACAAAAAACCCTTTTAAAATGTTATTTTTGCTTTCCGAAATGAGATGTGGCAACGTTGCTTTTAGTTGGCCATTTTGAAGTGACGCCTTGTAATTTTTTGCCAGTTTTTCCCCGAATTTTTCACTTTTCCGGGGCTTTTCCATGGAAAAAGGCAATTTAACATACGAGGCTTTGAGTTTTCTTCATTTTCTAGCAAAAATGTCCAGTTTTAAAATGACATAAATAACAAAATCCCATTTAAAATGTTTTTTTTTGAAGTTTTGATGTGGCAACACCGTTTGTACCAACTTCAAATAGGTTTTGTAATAAATATCATTTGCCAGTTTTGACAGTCAGCAATTTTTAATTGACGTTTTTACATTTATATTCAGTTTTTCCTCGAATTTTCCACTTTTCCAAGCCGTTTTCAGTCAAGAAACCCGATTGGAAATACGAGGCTTTGAATTTCCTACATTTTATGCTAAAAATTCTGAGTTTTCCAATGGGGTAAGTGACAAAAACTCAAATTTCATTAAGTAGGCTTTGGAATGTCATTTTTAGAGGTTTTTCTTTGAATTTGTCCGCTTTTCCAGGGCTTTTGTGGTCGGAAAAACCGATTTAAAGTACGAGGCTTTGAGTTTTCTTCATTTTCCACCAAAAATGTCTAGTGTTTTAACGGGTGAGAAGTGAGAAAAATTTTAGTTTTATCAAGTAGGTTTTGGAATGACATTTTCGTTGTTTTTTTTTGGAATTTTTATTTA